GATTCTGCGCTTTTGCCTGGCGCTTGCCGCGCCATTCCGTGGCATTACCTCGCATCGCCTTCTAGCGAGTCGCCGCGCGGAGTTTTGCCGTGGTTTTTCTCTCCGTGTAGACAGTAGAGCGTAGAGCCAGGAGGCGGATGCGTATTTGTGTATACCGCAGGCGCCCCTTCCGTCGTGGCGCCCTAGGCACACGCCTAGTAGAGTTCCTTACTAGAGGAACTCGTAACGCCTAGCGTGCTTATGCTATAAACCGCCACTGTTTACAATGCAAACTTAACAAGCAACGTGCCAGAAATAAATAATCCTTTCGAATTTCTGAACGGCTTACTCTGAACATACTTCCGGTCATATTCGAGTTTCTGAACGCTATAGAGTTAACTCTAGTTAACTCTGAGTTAAAGAGTAAACTTTATGAACGCAGCCCCGAGCGATCGAATATGATTGGTTGGATCTATAAGTAATAACCAATTATGTTCAATCGCTCGGCAAGCGTGCCTAGCCGCTTTGCCGTCTTGAACTCGCCCATTGATATACATAAACATATATGATCATATATGATCATATACATACATAGGGTGGTCGTTATTTAAATAACTTGAAATTTAATCGGGAGATTTCTTAAAATGGCAATTTAATCAGGGGTGTCTTGATTAAATTTAAAAAATTGTTAAAAACCAACATCATAGTATATATACATATTTATATTTATTTATGCATCACAAATTTTTATCGGGATCTATCATGCCAATTTAAACGAATATCGCGTGAAATTTCAATACAATCAACATAACCTGATAGTTATAATTTATAGTCCCCAAAATAGCCAAAATGTTTAATGATACATTGGGGACGGTCCCCAATGTACTAAAGAAAAATGTGTTCCTAAAAACTACAAATTGTTTAGAAAAATAACTTTGGAGACGTCCTCGAAGTATACGATTTATGTGTAGAACTTTGAGGTCGGACCCCAATAAAACCAAAAGTAACCCAAAGTAACCAATTTCTCTTAGAAATTATCCCCAAAGTATACGATTGATATACGTAAACATATATGATCATATATGATCATATACATACATAGGGTGGTCGTTATTTAAATAACTTGAAATTTAATCGGGAGACCTAAAATGGCAATTTAATCAGGGGTGTCTTGATTAAATTTAAAAAATTGTTAAAAACCAACATCATGATACATACCCCAGACAGCACACAACATCCATTGGACATCCAGACTTGGTTTCAATCTGGTCCATACGTCCATGGATTTAGTACGAATGTTTTAAAAACGTACGTTATTCAACGTATAAAGTATGTTTACATTTGAACATTTAAAAAATGTTTATCTCATGCAAAAAATTTTCTAAGTCTGCTTGTGACGTATTGCTTTCGTTGACTTGCGAGGTGAAAATTTTTTTATGATCGCACGAGGAGTTTTACTTTTGATATCTCCGGTAATGCGAAATATTATTAAATTAAAGCTTAATTCAGATATGCAACAAGCGACAAGCAACAATAGCTTGCTGCTCGCAATCATAATAGTTAGGAATCATTTTGCTTTCAGTGTGCAAATTTGTCTGGATTGTGGTCAAAAATTTGTTTAATATATTAATTTAGTCCAGTTTTAGTCCATTGCATCCTAAAATGGACGTTTTTAAGAAGTCCAAAATGGTAACACTGGATATTTTTAAAACGTTTTTAAAATATCCATGGATCTAATCTGGATGTTTTTAATATGTCCAAACGTCCAACATGTACGTTTTAAATACATTTTTTAAACATTACTGTGCTGTCTGGGACGTATATAAATATTTATATTTATTTATGCATCACAAATTTTTATCGGGATCTATCGTGCCAACTTAAACGAATATCGCGTGAAATTTCAATACAATCAACATAACCTGATAGTTATAATTTATAGTCCCCAAAATAGCCAATATGTTTAATGGTACATTGGGGACGGTCCCCAATGTACTAAAGAAAAATGTGTCCCTAAAAACTACAAATTGTTTAGAAAAATAACTTTGGGGACGTCCTCGAAGTATACGATTTATGTGTAGAACTTTGGGGTCGGACCCCAAT